GGGGGGTGGGGGGTGGGGACCTTCAGTTGGAATTTGCTCCAGTAACAATCTCCAGCTTGTCCAGGAAGTCCATCCTGGAGTTAGGATTCTAAAAGATTCCGTACTGCCTTCACCTGCTTTCCTATTCCTCCTCTGACCGGCAAGGCAGCACCCTTCACACACTCACCTGTGGGCTGTCCTGGTAGGATGGAGGAGGGACATTCTGCGTGGCCATCATTGTCAGAGCTGGGGCTGGGGAGGCATGTTGCATCATGGGATTGATTCACATGGAGGATCTGTGGGTAGGAGAAAGGGGGCCACAGCATTAATATCAGCGAGCCCAGGGGATCCGTGGGGACCAGACAGCTCCGAAGTTTTGCAGCCTGTGACGCCTGGACTGGGTAGAATACAGAGTGTTGAGGACCCTTCAGGGGAACTAATGAAGCTAATGGGAGAGGAATTGGCTGGCTTGCTGTGCTGTTTTTGATGAGAAAAAGAACAATCATCAACTCATCTGTAAAACAACTGGTACGCCCTCAGTGATGTTTTACTCAGCATCAGCTGTGGGCTGGTGTGAGGCGGGGAAGCTTGCCTTATGGCAGCACGAGGAGATTGGAGACCATTTGGACACCCCTCTTCTTGGCTAGGAGTGCCCGCAGTCTCTTCATGTCCACCTCTGAGAAGGATGGTTCTTGCCCTATCCTTCCCCAGGCTTTCTGGAGCTGCCATAAACATTTACTGGGGCTGGAAGGCCTCACCTTGAAGTATCCAATTCCCATCCCCTGGCCCCAGGACATAGCACCTCTCGAATGTGCTCCCCACACCCTCTAGTGGTGAGAAGAGCCGCGGGGTGTTGGCCCCTCAGACAGGAGACCGTGGAGGTCTTTGAGAAGGAAACGGCAGGCCAGAGTCTGGACTCTGGTCAGCTCATGCTTTTCTAGGTGTCCTGGGACTGAGCATGTCAGGGGTGGGATCTGCACGTTTCATGAAGGTTTCCTTAGCCTTGCAGAGCCCTGGTGGTACTGTGCGTTAAGCACTGGGCTGCTAACTACACGTTGGTACTTCAAAGCCACCAGCTGCTCCAAGGGAGAAAGATAAAGCTGTTTGCTCCACGAAAGATTTACATTCTCAGAAACCCTATAGAGGGTGGAGGAGTTGAAATCAGTCAATGATGTAGGTTTGGGTTTCCTTAGCCTTGGTTAGTTACTGTATATTGCTGCTATGGCGTGTGGTCGAGTCGATTCTGAATCACAGTGACCCTCAATGACAGGGTAGAACAACACCAGGTTGATGTCCACCCCGACGCCCAAGAGTCTTTGAAGATGTCCACACATCTGACCTACGCAGGAATCTGAGGGTGCTCCGGAGCTGTCATGTACACAGGGGCGATCTCCCGGGGCCTGGATGAGTGGTGTCTATGTGTGTGCGCACGGTTCTCTTAGTTCTCTGTAAAGAATGCAGGGATGATCCTCTCTGGAGGACAAGGGCACGGCTGACCTGAAATATACACGGCACAGCCATGGAAATCGCATGTATTCATTTAGCAGATATTCGTCACGTAGCACCTATGTACAAGGAACTGTGCTGGGGGGGGAGGGGGAGGCTAGATAAGGTGAAGTCAAGCCAGCTCTCTTAGCAGAGGCAGGTTTGGCAAAGCGAGAAAGAAGGAAACGGGATAGTAGTCTATGCAAGCAGATCAACAGGTGTTTTCCTATAGGAACAGGTAACAGCCAAGAGTTTCACCATTGTGCTCCCCAGGGCTCCTCCTGGTTAATTACTGTCACCATCATCTAGGGCTCCAAGAGACATCAGAGCCGAATAGTCCAATGCCTCCTGCTGTACAAGGTGGAGTCGGAAGCCAGGAGAGGTGGTAGGCGAGGGGACTCTCAGAGTCCACATCCCATCTTCTCCCCGGTACCAGCCCCCTGCTGCCCCCTCTCTCCATCAGCAGTAAGGGAGCTGTCCTCATGGGACCTGAAGGTTTCTTGAGCCAGCACGTGGGCTGTAAGTGGAGACAGCCTGGCAGTGCCACCCAAGGAAACAGGATGCCCAGAGAGTTGTTTGCTACAGTAGATGCCCTGAAATATTTACAGCTGGAAACCCCAGGCTTGTTGTCTGATGCAGGCCTGCCCATCTGTGGTGCATGGAGATGCCCAAGGAATTGTGTGGGTGAACATTCTGCCCTTCAGCTCTTCTAACCTGTGTGGAAGCAAGGGGGTGAGCCTAGCACTCAGATGCTCTCCTCCATCTCCCTGTGGGCAAACAGGGCAGGGCAGAACAGCCTAGAGAGTTTCCTTGCAGTCTGATGCCCCATCCTCTTGCAGCCTGATCATTACCACCTGTTCCTCCCCTACCCCTACCACCTCCACGACCTCTGTCCTCACCCCATCACCTGTAGCCCCACCACCTCTACTACCACCACCTCTATCACCACCACCACCATTACCCCCACCTCCACCACCTCTATCACCACCACTATCACTCCCACCCCCACCGCCTCTATCACCACCACCACCACCTCTATCACCACCCTAACACCATCACTCCCAGCCCTACCCCTACCTCCACCACCACCATCACCACCCCAACACCTCTATCACCACCCCACCACCATCACTCCCACCCCTACCCCTACCCTACCCCTACCCCCTGCACCACCAGCACCTCTGTCACCATCACTGGTGTCTTCTGAACTGTTCTGATGGGTGCGGGAATTTGAGGGTGCTTTAGAGCTGTCACTTAGTAAAGGGGTGGATCTCCAAGGGTTTATGTGAGTGGTGTCCATGTGTGTACGCATTGTTCTCGTAGTTCATTTTAAAGAAGGATGCAGGGATGATCCTCTCGGGAGTACCAGGACACGTTGACCTTAAATGCACACGGGAGAGCCATGGGCATATGTGTATTCATCCAGCAGATGTTCCTCACCGAGCACTTATGTGCAAAGAACTGTGCTAGGGGTGGGTGAGAGGCCAATCCTGTCTCTTAATAGAGGAGGTGAGAGTAAAGCGGGAAAGGAGATGAGATCCTACAAGAGTGTGCAGAACAACAATCCGTTCTGTGCTAAAAGCTTCGGGGCCGCGGCATGATGTCCATCAGCTCCTGGCATGCTGTAGCCCACCCCACACACCAGGCACTGGGGCTGTATAATCCACTTTGCCGAGTACCCAGAAGGGAGCTGTGGAGGGGTATCTCCTGAGGGGAACAGATTTTCAAGGCAACGTCTTTGGAAGGTGGTAAGCTCCCAAAAGGACACACAGAGTTGGGGGTCCTTGAAAGGAGAGAGAGAGGAAGCAACGTTCCTGAGGTAAGAAAGGACCGCCCAGGACGAAGACTTCTGCAATATTAAAATTGGTGTGAAATCACTCTTTGGGGTTCTGAGGAAAAGAAATAGGAATATTTCGGGAGTGTGTCGGCCTCTCTGGGTGAGCCAACAGTCCTGAAGCCAGGGTGAGTCCCTTCCTGGAAATGCCCGTCTGGGATGCTCACTGGCTGGGGGAAAACGGGAAACCCGTAGTGCCAGCAGTCTCCAAAGCAGGGAGCCAGGAACAGAAGGTCAGGATGGACTACAGAGGTCTGCTGCACCCCTTTGGGGCAACTAGAAGCCCTGAGGTCATAAAGGGGGACATGCTGTGCTGCTGACTGCAATCTTGGCAGTCGGACTCCACCAGGGCCCTGGAGCCAGATGAGGCTGGGCCCACCAAGATTTACAGCCGTGCAACCCGAAAAGGGCAGGTCTCTCTCTCTCTCTCTAAAATCATTTTATTGGGGGCTTATATAACTCTTATCACAATCCATACATTCATCCATTGTGTCATGCACATTTGTGCATTTGTTGCCATCATCATTCTCAAAACATTTGCTTTCTACTTGAGCCCTTGGTATCAGCTCCTCGTTTTTTTCCCTCCCTCCCCACCTCCCCTTCCCTTTCTTATTAGATAAATTCTAATTTATCATGTCTTGTACTGTCCGATGTCTCCCTTCACCCACTTTTCTGTTGTCCATCTCCCAGGGAGGAGGTTATATGTAGATCTTTGTAATCGGTTTCCCCTTTCTACCCCATCCTCCCTCCACCCTCCCGGTATTGCCACTCTCGCTACTGGTCCTGAAGGGATCATCTGTCCTGGTTCCCTGTGTTTCCAGTTCCTATCTGTACCAGTGTACATCCTCTAGTCTAGGCAGATTTGTAAGGTAGAATTGGGATCATGATAGTGGGGGGAAGAAGCATATAAGAACTAGAGGAGTTTCATGTTTCATCGTTGCTACACTGCACCCTGACTGGCTTGTCTCTTCCTTGTGACTCTTCTGTCCAATTGTCTACAGATGGGCTTTGAGTCTCTACTCTGCCCTCCCCCTCATTCACTTTGATATGATTTTTTGTTCTGGGCTTTGATGCCTGATACCTGATCTCTTCGACACCTCTTGATCACACAGGCGAGTGTGCTTCTTCCATGTGGGCTTTGTTCCTTCTGAGCTAGATGGCCACTTGTTTATCTTCAAGCCTTTAAGACCCCAGACGCTATATCTTTTGATAGCTGGGCACGATCAGCTTTCTTCCCCACATTTGCTTGTGCACCCACTTTGTCTTCAGCGATCAGGTGGGGAAGGTTAGCATCATGGAATGCCAGGTTAATAGAACAAACTGCTTGCATTGAGGGAGTGCTTGAGTGGAGGCTAAAGGGGCAGTTCTGCTGCACTAGGTGCTGGTATGCATTCGAACTGATGAGAAGGCAATGGTGCTTTAGAACATTTCTGTCGAACCTAGGGCGTGAGTCTTTGGTAACTTCATTCCAGAGATGAGAAAGTCGTATTTTATCAAAGGAAAGGAACCACAAGGAGGAGAACTTGAACTCAACAGAGGAGAGCCGTTTCTTTATATTCTTTTGCTCACTGCCCACTGGAAGGTAGAAGCATTTTCGAGCCACTTTCCCTAGAAATGTGCCTGGTCAAGGAGGGTGGGGGGAACGGGGGACATGGAATGTTCAGAGTGATCTGCACTCAGATACAATCACGGGGAGACTGAGGGGAGATTCTTCAGTCCCTAGTCCAGCCCTGAGCCCAGACCTACTGCAGGCAGGGAGGGGCAGCCGCTTCAGAGGACAAAGGGGCAAATTTCTGAGGACCCAGATGGCTCTTCCTGCCTCCCCATCCCCCTCCAGAGGTCACCATAGGCCACTAGGCCTCAGCCCTAATGCCCTCTGGGAGCTCCTGCAAGTGAACAGGAGGCCTTTCATGGGGGTTTAAGTTCCCTTCTGGGCTCACTCAGGCACAGATGCCTGTGGCAACTTGACACTCAGAG